GGCATGATTCAGATCATGGGGATTTCATTTGTTTGTAAAAATATATCTGTGGCTCTCAAATAAGTTTGAATTGTTGTGAGGGACAAGATTGGCTCTTCCGTCTCAAAAGTTTGCCAATCCCTGATCTGTCACATGGGAGCAGCCTCGCGCTTCACTGACTTATAGGAAGATTCAAACCAGCTCATGGATCACACCAAGAACAGCCCCTGCCGCTCTGTGCAAGCTCGGCACGTGATCCCCGATGGCATGGGGGTTACCCCTTGAGCTGCGAGCCAAATGGTCGGCAATTCGAAACCACCAAGGGCTCCTTGGGAGAAAGATGGGGCTTTCTTCTCCCATTAAAAGAGCCACGGTCTCAGAAACTCATAGGGGCACTTCTACCCTGTCCTAGAGGGTCACAGTGAATGGGCACCAACTGCATGGCAGCGAGTTAGGAAGTGACCCTTGGTGCTGCTGGTGAAGACAATGACGGCTCAGAAGATGGTAATGGGAGGGCCCGCCGGACCCTATGCGGCCAATACTCAGCGGTGTCATGGTCAGTTAACACTGCTGAACGCATTCTTGTGTAGAGAGGACCAGCCCAGCATGGTCATTTAAGTGTTAGAAGTTAGTCAGGGTGGAAGAGGTCTCCTGACCATTCATCAAGGGGCGAGGTGTTAAGTAATATCTCGGAGTTTCTAAGGCCTCCCATGAGCATCCCAGAAACTTGGGTGAAGACAGGGTGCCAGTGGCCTCTTAGAGACAGTGACCTTGAGCGAATCCCAGGCAGCTCTTCCTACGGAGCCACAGTAAAGAATGTAAATTCCTTCCCAGCCAACCTCACAGGCAAGAGGGATTGAGTCTGCTGGAGGCTCTCCACTCCCAGCTCCCCCAGCAGATCACTGGACCAGCCACCTTTGGAAGACATGTCTTATCAAAGCACTTCCTCTCCGTCCACGTCACCCTGGAGAACGGAAACCAAAGTCAACTCACCAGTGTGGGTCTGTCTGTGGGTCTCCAGCGCGTCCTCTTTCGAAAACTGGGCACCGCACTGATCGCAGACAAAGGCTTTGGCACCCGCTGAAAGAAAAGGAGGCAGTTACCACATGGGCATTATTCCGCTGGAGGCTGGGGGGGGGTGTTCTGGGTCAAGATCAGGCAGCTGGGCACTGGGGGAGGGGCTGTATACTCGTGGCTAGCCCAGCAGCCAGCTCAGTTCCTCCAAGACGTGCCCACCCGCCCCTTGGAGTTCTAAGTGCTGCCCGAGGGAAGAAGGAACACAGTTAGGGCAGCCAAGAGAAACTGAGATGAGGTCCAGATGAGATGGCACCGGGAGAAGGCGGCTTCTTGGGTACAGCTCCAGGGACAAGGAGCCAGAGGGGTGCAGTGGTGAGGCGCTCGGCCGCTAGCCACAAGGTCAGTGGTGCGGACCGCCAGGTGCTTCCTGGGAGAAAGATGCATCC